TCAGTCCCTAGTCAAATGAATAGTTTACAAATATTTTCTCCTATTCAACAGGTCATGTCTTCACTCTGTTGATTGTTTCCTTTGCTATACAGAAGCATGTTAGTTTAATATAGTCCCATTTATTTATTTTTCTTTTCTTTTCTCTGTGTTTTTGAGGTCTTAGCCATAAATTTTTTGCCTATACCAATTTTCTGAAGTGTTTTCCCTCATAGTTTTCTTCTAGTACTTTTATAGTTTTAGGTCTTATGTTTAAGCCTTTATCTTGAGTTAGTTTTTGTATATGCTGAGAAATAAGTGTCTAGTTTCATTCTTAGGCATATAGATACCCAGTTTTCCCAGTACTATTTATTGAAGAGGGTGTTATTTCCCTAATGTATATTCTTGGTTCCTTCGTAGAAAATCAGTTGGGTGTAAATATGTAGATTTATATCTGAGTTCTTCATTCTGTTATACTGGTCTACATGTCCGTTTTTATAGCAAAAGCATGCTGTTTTGGTTACTATACACTAAGATAGTTTTTTGTATTTCTGTGAAAAATGATGTTAGTATTTAGATAGAGATTGCATTGAATCTGTAGATTGCTTTGAGAAGTGTGGCCATTTTCAGGAAATTAATTCTTTCAATCCAGGAGCATGGGATGTCTTTCCATTTGTCTGTGTCCTCTTCAATTTCTTTCATCAGTGTTTTATAGTTTTCACTGTAGAGATCTTTCACCCCACCTCCTTGATTAAATGCATCCCTAGGGTTTTTTTCTTTTTCGCAGCTATTGTAAATGGAATTGCTTTATTGATTTTTTTTTTCAGCCAGTTCATTAGGAGTGTATAGAAATGCCACTGTTTTTGTCTGTTGATTTTGTATGCTGTAACTTTACTGAGTTTATCTATCAGATCTAAGAATTTTTTGGTGGAGACTTTAGATTTTTCTATAGATAAGATCAGCAGTCCCCAACCTTTTTGGCACCAGGGACCAATTTCATGGAAGACAAATTTTCCACAGCCATGGGGGGGGGGCGGTGAGAAGCAAAGTTCAGGCAGTGATGAGTGATGAAGAGCAGCTGTAAAAATAAATGAAGCTTCACTCACTCTCCCGCTGCTCACCTCCTGCTGTGAGGCCCGGTTCCTAAGTTTCGTGGAAGACAATTTTTCTAAGGACATGGAAGGTCCCTAGCAGGCTACGGCCTGGTTCTAGGTGTGGCCTGAGGATTGAGGACCACAAAAGATAATTTCAGCAGCAAAGTCAATTTGAATCCTTCTAAAAATTTTGTCGCAGCAATATTTTTTTCTGTTTCATGTTCTAAAAAATAGTATAAAATTATATTTACAGAGAAATTCCATTAAAATTACATGTCACTCTCAATTGTGCAAACCAAATAGTGTACCATCGAATATTCATCTTCCTCTTTCTTCCAAAGTTTATTTTTAAGATGTTTAAATGCCAAGGTTTAAGGTTTTTGTGTTTAAATATTTTCACTTGATGCTTAGTTTTAGTATGACATTGTCGTAAGAAAATGTGGTCAACCTGATTTCTAACTGGGATGCTCAATTAAGATTTTCTTTTTTGGTTTACATGTGCTTAATGTGTGTAAAATTCTATACACTTAAAAAGCATCAAATTCCATATTTGATACATCACTAATGTTCATCGTTATATTCAACACTTCCATATTCTTGTTTTATTTTACATGATTGATCTATTATTGATTTGTAGATATACATTAAAGTCTCCCTCTTTAATTATTCACTTCCCATTGGACTTATCTATCTTATGCTTATTTGTATATTGTGGGGCTTCATTATTGGGCATTGGGCATTTAAAGATATATGATTCCTGATCCTCATATGTGAAATTTACTCCATTTTATTTTTGAAATTAAATTCTTATTGTCTAATATTAGCCTTGTTTTCCTTTCTTTCTTTAGGTTTACCTAAGGTTTGTTGGTCTTAGTCATTTTACTTTTGAATTTTTCTTACAAGCAAAATGTTATTAAATTTTATTTTTACCCAGTCTGGATATGTAATCTGGTTATTTTTCCCTTATAATACATGAGTTAATCTTGTTTTTGTTTTTTTTGTTGTTGTTTTTTTTTAGTTAGTTACTATAAATATCAGGTTCAATTTTACCTGGACCAAATAATTTTTAGTGTTTTCTTGTTGCTTCTTTTCTATTTTGTCATTGTCTATTTTCATTAATGAGTAATTCTTTGATTTGTTTATTCCTTTGATGAAAAATGTATGTTTATTCAATTTCAACTTATAGCTAAATGGCATTTATATGGATTCTGTTAAAAATTGACATAAGTCATTGTTTGAATTCCTTATCATTTCCAGACCCTGTAGCCTGGCAAGCATGGAGGGAACAAATAGTCCCAAGAGTACTTTCTTTAATCAAAACATCCTTATTAATTCCATCTGCTGTTACTGTCTTTGCCACAGTAAATTCTAGTGGTGTCTAGTTCTATGCTTGGCTAGAGCACCTTTCTGGATGTTAGTATGCCTCCCAGAGCTCCAAGCAGCCAATAGGCCTAGGAATAAACCTTCCATTTCTCCCCATATTTTCTTTTGATACCATTTTTTGACTAGTCACTTAGATTATGATAGATTGAGTCTGTCAGCATCATCTTTACTTACCTTACATATATACATATACCTTTTTTGTAGGAGGCAAAATTGAATTATTGTTATTTTTGCATCTTCTATGGCTTCTATCAGACTAGATTAACACTATTTCAAGCAGAAATTCCTGAAATTTTGTCCAGGAAGATGTCATGTATCACTAGTTTCTAAGAATGGCTCAGTTGTTTCCTCCTTTACTGATTTGTAAATTATTTCAATATGAACTCAGGTAGGTGAGGAACTATATGCAATCTTGAAAATAAATTGCCCAAGTTGTGGCTTTTGACCCAGTTTATAAATCATGTGACAAAGCAAAAATATTTAGTAACTTTGTTTAGAAGTTATTAATTTTAAGAACCACTTGACCAGTATGTGGATACATTGAACTCATCTATCCAGGATAGATCGTCTATCAACTCTTATAAGATTAGAATATTACAACTTTCTCTTGCCCTTCCCCAGATAATTGACTTTGTTGCTATATACCAATAGGCTATAGTCTAGGTACTAGTGAATAATGCTGATTTCAAATAATTTATTAACTTATTTCTTCTCATAGTTCAGAAAGTCTCCTTACTTCACACTTCTTAGATTCTCATTTAGGAAATACTTAAAATTATATATGAACCATGGTCACAAAATTGGAGATTATCTAATACTCTGGCTCATTGGCTTCTCTGAATGATTAACCAAAGATCTGCCCTTGCAGTTATGTTATTTTCAGGTCATTAAATGTAGGTCTATTATGAACTAAAGCATCTCTAGAGACAAGCACTCAAACGACTTGAATATAATAGTTCTTGGCACAAGTACACATTGAAATTACAATTTTCAAAAGGCGCAAAGAAGCCCAGTGAGTAAATAGGGGAAAAGGGAAATTGATGGCATTTATTTTTTAATAATGGGAAGTCTTTGAAGCATAAAGGACATGACAATGGTATTTCAAATGTCAACCGGTGAAACTCAGCTCTGAAAGGTATATAACAACAAAGAAAAGAGATCAATGTTAAAGTTATAAAAAATACTCCTAACGATTCTGAATGAAAGCGTTTTGGCTAATGCTGTTCTGGTAGATGTTTAAAAACCACCTGGGAGAGGAAGAGGAAGAGTGCTGATTTGCTGGGTTCACCAGTTTTCATACAGTAAATACTCCCACTATGATTAATTTCAAGCTATCAGCATTGAAGTCATTGAACACAGAGTGAGGAAGAAATGTGCTCAGTGACTCTCATGAGCCTGTGGAAGCCATCTCCAGAAGCCCATTGGAATGATCTTTGTAGCATTTTAAAAAGTGATTACCAGGCTATGTAAGATCTAACTGGTAAAGATAAAAGGTATCTTGTACCTGGTCATATGTTCTTTCACATTTAAAGTAATGAAGGATGCAATGTGGTACCATTGGAAATGATTGAGAACATAAGGTCAAAAACTCGTGGGTTTGGAGCTCTGCACCATCATTTCATGTATGATTTCAGCAAAATTACGTACTTTATCTCAGTTTTCAATTTATTTTATTTATTTATTTAACTAACAAGAATTATATAAATTTATGGTGTACAACATGATGTTTTGCATCTTATACAATGGCTAAATCAAGCTAATTATTGTATGCATTACTTCACATACTTATTATTTATTTGTGGTAAGAACTTTTCATTATATTTTATATTTTTTGAAGACAAGGTCTCCCTATGTTACCCAGGCTGCAGTGCAATGGCTATTCACAGGTGCCACCAAAGCACACTATAGCCTTGAACTCCTGTGCTCAAACAATCCTTCCCCTCAGTCCCCCAAGTAGCTGAGCACTACCCTGCCCAGCTATGGAACTCTTAAACTCTACTTTCTCAGCAATTTTTAAGTATACAATACATTGTTATTAACTATAGTCACAGTGTTGTACAGGAGATCTCCTGAACTGAGTCCTCCTATTTAACTGAAATTTTGTATTCCTTGGCCAACATCTCCATAATATCACTATATCACTTCCCACCCCAGACCCTGATAACCATAATTCTACTATGTTTCTATGAGGTAGACTTTTTAAAATTCCATATATTAAGCCTTTATTTATTTATCTGTAATCATCTATAAAATTCTGCAAAATGAGAGTGATTTAGCAAATATCTTATAATGATTAAAAGACATAATAAATATGAATATATCTGGTATATAAACAGACTATAAATAATTATTTTTCTTCCAGCTTCTATATTACTTATTTTCTTCCAGCTGTTCTTATTCATTGTAGAGCAGTAAATTGAGATCTGACTGTGTAGTACAATTACTAAGGAGATGATTATGACTCTAGTGTTGACACACCTATGTAGCTACCTGAAAATTGCTCTTACATAGGAGGGGAGAGTACATGAGGAAATGCAGACAGCACAGGAGAACTTTGGTACCAACATTTATTTTCCTTTTTATCTTTGAAGTGTTAAAATAAGCAAAAAACTTTAAAGCTATGGGCTTCTTCATTATAAGGATAATCTTCATGACCTGATTTTGTCACTTATCATTTTGCAGTCTCTATGATTGAGGAAAAGAAGGTCAAGGAATGTGAAAAGAGTATTGAGTGAGTCAACCTATAGTATTTTCCATAAAAATACAATTCTGGCAAAGGTAGTAAAAAATGTGTCATGAGAATTCATGAAAGAAAATAACTTTTGGCTATTATAAACAGAGGAGACTCAAAAGCATGACATTAAAATGATATCTGCAGTGTTTTGATGGATGAAGATGATCAGATTTAGAACATTGTGGGTGAATCAAAATATATATATGTGTTATATATGAACTGACACAGATGTAGAAGAGATTAATTCTTTAATTCAAAGATAAGTAGCCTAGTATATTTCAAATATACTCAAATATATTCAAAGAGTCTAGTATATTTTAAATGCAAAGTATACCTAGGGTAGGATCAGGAAATATACTACAAAAGTAGCTTGGTACCAGAATAACAAGTGAGCCTATGGATTTGTTTATTATTTCCTATTTAATTATCATATTTGAAGATATATATACTGTATTAGCTGCTTTATATATGTTATTATTAAATTCTCAGATCAATAATAAAGAGAAAGCATCATCCATTTTATGGAAGAAGAAACTGATGACCAGTTACACATTGATAATCTGGGGTTATATGATTTATCACTACAGAGATATTCAAAGTTTTTGACAAGGAGCATAACATGATCGAAAGTGTAAATTTCTTTTTTACAGTTATTTGACATCTGCAAATTAAAATTCTTAACTTACTCTACTCCAAAATTAGAAGCTATTGATGACTACAGATGCCAAAGGGTCATCTAGCCTATGTTAATGTCTTAGTAGCTTTCCTTCTGAAAACACGAGTGATCCCCCACCACTGGCATTTCACTCATCTCCCTCCTCTTTGCAGCATATCAATGAAGGTGCATTTGCCCTTTCTGGTATATAAAACAAAAATAATCTGGGTAATTATTAATCCAAGTTTTCATAGAGGAATAAGTTAACCCATCCACTCTTGTGAAATGCATTAGTTTTGGATTATTTTTTCAGTTTCATTTGCAAAGAACTGAGCCTTGAGAAAATTTGAAACATGACAGGAAAATGTGTTTTAGGAAAGGACAAAGTTTGCAAACGTTTGATTGATTCTAGCCAAGAAGAGGAACTTAGTAGTATGCCTAACAAAATGTTGTATTACTGAAATTGTACTGAAATCTCCAGTGACCTCCAAATTGATAAATCCAAAAAACAATCTTTAGCCCTCATCTTATCTTAGCACTTGGCAGAATTTGACTACAATTTACAGAAACTATTTCTTGAATTCTCTCTTTAATTAGTTTCTATAATAATGCTGTCTTGATTTTTCCTATATTTAAATTATTCTTTCTATATTTTATATAATTTGTTTGGTTTTGTGTACTTAGACGTCAATGGGGTGTGGCAAAAGCAAATAGATAGAAGAGTGATAAAGATAAGCGTCCTCAACCTGATGTAAACATTCTTTACAATCTGACCCCACCTGTATTTCCAACTTCACCTCTAGACCAGATTAATTTACCATTCTGAGTTTCTTAACTCAGAACCACTTAGTATCACATCCTCAACAAAATCTGTCCAGAGCCTCTCTAAAAGTTGTTATTTAATTTACTGCACGCTTACAGCTCTTATCTGTATAAATTTATAATTGAGCTTATTACACGTGTGTATAGCTAATGTCTAAAAATATCTCCACCATCCTCAGTGTGCCATAAGCTTCTAAAGGACAAAGACTATGTCTTTAATCCTTGTGTACCCAGTGACTAGTGACTAAAATAAAGTCAACAAAATCTATAAATGTATGTTTAATTAGCAAATGAAAGTTCAATGAACTAATACTACCTGGATTTCTTATTAGTGGTATCATCTTAGTCAACTCTCTAACTTTCTTTGTGTTTTTCTGTTTTGACCTGCAAACAAATGTAGTAATTATTCCACCTCCCTTTTAAAATCTCACGATTGTTATTTGGTATCAAACTTTTAAAATGGATTATAAAAGTATTTTATAAATGTAAGGTATGCATAAAGTAGACCAATTTGAATGTTATGAGCCTATAGCTTTACTGAATTTGGAAATAGCCACACACATGCACATGTGTGAACATGCACACATACATCCCACATGTGAAATCAAATGTTGCTGTATTTCTTATGTTTACTAATTCTTACATTCACCAATGTGTAGGAAAAGTATCAGCTTTGCTGATTCAGTAGCCATATGTTTGAAAGCTATAATAGGGAGTTACTTCATTTGACAAAGCTTTTTGAATTGTCCTAGTCCACATCATTATTGTTTTCTTAGGTTTTTAAGTTCCTGAAAGATGAGAAGTACATCTCTATATAACATGTAATATATCATTATACACAAATTGTCAATTAAAAAATCTTTGATAGTGATGATGACTTTATAAATGGTTATAAACAGAATTGTAAGCAATAAAAAAGTGATATGTAAAGAGAAAAGTCAGGTAATAGTCCTTACCATCCTCACTGTAAAATTCTTACCCAGAATGGTACACACTGTAGGTAGCAAAACATTATTTACCCATCCTTGCAACTGTACCAGTTGGGAATACAACACTTGTTGCGTTGCTCAGAGATGGGGCCTTTTGTCATTGTTCTGAATATGAGCTATGCAATGTTGTCACATACTGCAAACTGCTAAATTTTACAAATGGGATACACAGCTGGAATGTGACTTGCCCACTATTGCAGGCAATTTTTCAGATGCCTTTACTGAAGTGATATAAAGAAAGATTAAATTTAAAAGCTAAATAAGACAAATGGTAAGATTACTGAGTTGTTTTAAACATATGTCAAAGTTTTCATCATTCATTGGTTTTGCAAAAACCACCTCAGTACTATTGCTCATGTTGCTGATGAAACCATGCTATATAAAGCACAGCTCTGTCAAATTTAGGAGAGTTAGTAGAAAGATATTCTTTGTCATAGATGGAATTGACAAGTACAAATTCTGTGGAACCTGTCTGATAACCTTCAGAAACGGCACTCTGCAATTCTAGAATCCCAAAAAGACATCATTAGGAAGAAAAACAAAAGTTCTTGTGATTTTTTTTCTCGGTTGTTATAAAGAATTGTGCAAATGCAGCGTGACTCTGGGAATTCAGCACATGTTATTTGCTTCTTGTTTGAAAGCTTTCAGCAGAGAGACTTAGGCCAAGATGTAAAGCAAGCAGCCCTCTGAATGAAACACAAAACCTGCAGAAAGCTGTACTAAATACATACATACATCTATACAACAAAACTTTAAATCTTCCCTAGTATTGACGTTACTGACAAAAATAGACATAGGGACCAGGAATTCAAAAAATAATCAAAAATAGGAATTCAAAAAATAATCCATGCACAAGTGGATAGGGCTAAACGAAGGGTGACAATGAAGAAACTTCAGACCCACTGGTTGGCATGGTAAGATTACATATTTCTTATGTGTCAAGTGGAAAACCTAGACGATGCCCGTATTGTTAAGCCATCCTGCTAAGTACCCCACCAAGAAGGCCACTCACAAAATGAGGCAACTCGAGCAGCAAAAGGATCTGGGGAACAGGAGAATGGTGGGAGATGATGGCTCAAACCTAAATTTCCTCCTGGGTACATTTGGTCCATAGGAGAACAGCAATGCTGTCATGCCAAACAGTGGGCTTATAGCTTCCTCCACTGCCCTCCTTTCTCAGCCCCCCAAACCTCCAATTCTCTGGCTCTGCTTCTCTCTAATTATGCTTTCGTCTGTTTATGTATCTTACAGGCATATTATCAAGTCTACAAGCTAAACCCACATCCAATGGGAAAGAAGCCTAGAGCACAAAATTTAAGGAGACATTTACTCAGGGCTGTGCAAGTGCCTCCTTAAATACACAGCCTAGGCCTCCCACTTGCCTTGTCCCAGGTGTTGGGGGTAGAGGATGGTATAGCTAGGTAACTTTGGAATCCACTCCTTGAGCTCTGCAGGAATTTGACCAGCCTCAATAACTAGCACCTTATTGTTGGATTTATAAACTTATATATTGGGTATTTGCCTTTTGTCTTCAGCTTTGGCCTGAAATATCAGGAAACAAAAAATATCCTTCAACATCCTATTGCATGTAGAACAACAGAGAGACTTTACTACCAGTTTTTCCCTATTAAAAACAGCTCAGTGAATTGTCTCATGTCCATGCTGTTTTACTTCATTTAAAGCATCTCTGAATGTTAAATATCAGCAACGGGATATCCATGACATGAATGTTTGGGGAGGTGTTGCATACTGCCAAGGTTTTATTTAAAAGGACTTTACCAACTGTCATTGTAAATTTGTATGGTTGTGTTCATTTCCCCACAACCTGACCCATACATAAATATTTTAATTACTAATTCAATTGGTATAAGGTGATATGATTTTTTTTGCTTAACTCTTGAATATTTTTACATATTTATGACAATTGTTTTATCTTTTGACTTATTTTTAAAGGGCAGTTTTATTTTTCATGTTGTTTGTGTGTTTGGATTTTCTAAGTTCATGGAAGGATGCTAGGAGAATTTTACTAAACTATCTCATATTAACTAGACTTTCCATTTTATTTTCTCTGTTGTTTAAAAAAAAAGTCTGACGTCATCATTATAATGCTACTCCTTTTCAAAAATCCTTTTTATGCTTTTATTTTCTATATTCATTTTCATGCTGGGATTTGGCAAGTTATATAAAGAATTCAAATTGAATAATATGAGCTGTTTATTAATGAAAAAACGTTGGAATTGACCAGTATCTCCATCATGCCAACATATAAGATTACCAACTTTCAATGTGTATAATAAGATATTAAAACAAAATTAGGTAGTACAAAGCAAAAATATTTTTATATATTATAAATTTACCAAAATGAGAGTCTATATCAATTAGTATTTCAACAAAAATTCATGGTTTCTATTGACAAATTACAGACTTAAGTAAAATGAGGACAAATTAAATATTGAATGTGAACAATTTAATTCAGTATTATTGAGCCTGTTTTCAAGAACATTACAATGACATATATTTTTAATTTTTAACATTAATATTTTTCTTTTTCATATTTCCATGTACATGTGAGTTTCTTTAGGATGACTGGAAACACTTTAACTCAACTTTGGATAATAGTAATAATGAGCAAACCTAAATCCTAAAATCTGATAGGCAAAGATGAAAGAAATAGTCATGAGTAAAAATTTTTAATAACTCTGGATTCCTAGAATCATGAACCATTTTAATATGATTTATGATCATATATCTAAAAGTATGTCATGTCCAAGATGTTAAGAAATATGTAACAGGATAGTCACACACCATCAAAGATGCAATTAGATATTTGTAAATATGCTAATAAGTATGTTTTAGAATAATTATTCAATAGCATTTCTTAAAATGATCATATTTTACATTCCTTAAATTTGAAAGGTAAATTTAAAAAACGTAATAATTAATATTAGTATACATGATTAAAATCAATTTAATAAATTTACTATAATTACCATTATTAGTTTTCTATCTTAAAGGGAAAGGAGTAAACCGAAAATAAAGCAGCAAGGATTTACAGATTCTAGTAGCAATGCTACTTAAAACCTTATTTATGTTTTGTGAAGTTTTGCATGACTATTTTACTATTAACTCAGATAAATGAAATTTAAATTTATCTCAAATGATACTAAATATGACTAAATCAAAAGTCAGTGTAGGCGTTCTTGACTATGTCAAATCAATTAATATCTTTCGATTGAGGGTAATATTCATTCATTTTCTAGCGGATTTAGACAAGTAACAATAGGGTTGCCAATAAGTAAACTAACCTTTTGGCAATATTTGGTATTCTATACTAATAGTTCTTTATTCAAGATTTTATTCCTGCTTAAAGATGCTAAATATTAAATGATGTATGTTTTTGGTACACAGATATTGTTTAAATTAATCTGTGAAAAATATTGTTTGAATTTTAAGATCTATAGGTTTTGTGCATTATGTTCTTTCAGTGAAAGCCACTGCAAAGAATTCCAGGAGCCCATAATAAGTTACATTTTTGTATGAATCTTCATATTTTCCAAAATACTTCCAAGTACATTATCTCCTTTGATCCGCATATCAAATCTAGGAGCTAGAAAGGCCAATGTTAGAGTGGTTGTTTTTAATGAGAAATTGAGCCTAGACTACAAACCCAGTGATCTTATGGTACTCTACCTTTAATCCCACAAAGCATGGAATATAGTATGTCATTAGCCTATTCCATATTAAAATATTAGTGACCAGATGTCCCCATACCTTCTGTAAACAGAATCTTCCTATCTTCCCTCAAATCTCAAAATATTAGTGATTGCCTTTCTAGTTATTTGATAAGAATACTCCTGCTCCTCATGTAGAGTAGATACTGTCATAGGAGAAGGTCAGTGAGACCACTGTCCCAAGTTTCATAATTATATTTAATTCTAATTCTCAAACTGATCTGATCAAATATCTATTAAATATTTGATAAATGTTAATTACAAAAAGAACTTGGTATGCCTTTCATAATACAGCTCTTACAATTGATCTTCACCAAAAAAATAAACACATAAAAAGCCTCTTCCAAAGGAAGTTTTTATTGGAAATCAAAGAGGCTTTTGACTTCCAAACTTGATATTTCATTACAAAAAAATGTTTATTCATGGGGGAGAGAGAAGGAAGGGCAACAATTGCTTCAATAGATCAGCCAGGGTATATTATGGCTGGGAAATTTCAGAAGAATAAAAAAGATATAATTCATTTCATTCCTTTTTTTTTTTTTTAAGGAGGGGTTGAGGTAAGACTGAATTGGACTGTGAGCCTTTCATGAACTTCTCACAGAACAGGAGCATGAGGAAGCAGAGTGGTGATGAAAACCCACAGCTCAATCTATCACGATATGGTGAGCACTGTCGGATTTAAACCATGAAGAAAAACAAATTGAAAATTAGTTAGAAAATGAAAAAAACAATGTGGTAAATTAAAAAATAAAAGCAGAAGAAACATTAGAAGGATGAAAGTCAGTATGAGTACTGCTGCCAGGAAAGGCCACTGATTAATTGGTTCGCTGATGGCCAATAGGGATAAAAGGTAAAAGGAAGAATGGGTTCAAGAGCCTGCTGCAAGAAAATAGGGTAGAAACTTAGAAGTGTTGCTAAGAGAATGTTTAGGTGAGTGAAAAGTGAATTGAGAAAAATGCTTATAGAAAATGAAAGACATAAAATACTATATCAGGAAAAAACCTGAAGAATTTTAAATTTAACAATCATATCAATAATAATAATTTTGAAAATTCAGTTTTTCTTTTTTATGCTTTGTAAGGATAAGTATTCTCGATGGAATGACAAATGTGTTTTAGCTCTTATCTCTCCATGTTTCTGAGGTGATTTGAAGCAAAGTACTGTTAGCACAGCCACTGTTTGTTTGCTTAGGTTGCTTACTGCCCAATCCGAGGGGACCATTCACAACTTATCCATGCAGTGCACAACTGCACAACCCATACATGTTGCCTATAATTCTATAAGAAATCAGATCCTTGTTCAGGTCACAGATTTGCTGTCTCCTAGCTGAATGATATTATTCAAATCAACTAACCTCTCTGAATCCAAGGTGCCCAATGGCAATAATAATATTTACATTCCAAATTTTATATAGTTGTCTGGGTTAATCAAAGAATGTTTTGTAAAATTTCAGGTTTTATAGAAATGCACATTATTATTATTTACAAGATTAATGCAACCATAGGATAATCATGCTGCCCTAAATACGGATTTTAATACTTTTAAGAGACAGCATGACATACTATATAATGTAAGTTACTGTTACAAAGCTAAAGTATCCATTTAATAGATTTTTTAATTAAATGGTAGCCATAATGTACTGTCCATGACAAATACTTTTAACGGTTTATACTAATTTATAACTCTATATATATTAGATTTAGAAAAAACTCAGCGGTTCCCCTTCTTCTTAGTATTCTTTTTTAAAAGATTTTGTTTTTCCAGTGAGCTGATTCTCAGTTATGATGGAGAAAATCACAGTTTCTGATTCAAGACCCTCTTACTCATGCACAGTTTACTTTATAGCTCATCTTCCTTTTCAAGGAAGGATGCTTTAAGAGTCCATCTTCAGCCCTCTTTCTTTCTTCATCCACATCTATGTTTTCTCAACTAATCTTATGTCTTAAAAAAAACTTATATTTGCAAAGACTTCCAAATTTCTTCAGGGCCCACCCCTGAAGCCCCATTTCTCAACTTAGATATCAAAAAGCTACACAACATTTTCCTTTGTATGGCTACTCAATTTTTCAAAATAAATAAATATCAAATTAACATCTTGATGTTTCATCTAAACTTGTTCTTCCTGAAATCTTTTCTGTTTTTGTTATAGTACCACTAAACCCCTGGTTGCTTAGGCCAAAAATATGGGGGTCATTTTTGACCCCTCTTTTTTCCCTCTCACCTTTATCTAACCAATCAGCATGTCCTATGGGTCCTACAGTAATATATACCCCTTGTCATTCCCTGTGAAATGCTACATGATTTGATCCCTGGCTACTATTTCAAGCTTAGCTATATAAAACAGGTATTTTCATTTATCACTCTTTATAGCACATATCTCTCCTAGAAATTATATTTATCTCTTTATTTATTGTCTCTCTTCCTATTAGGAAAGGAATTTTTTCAGTTTTATTCTCAAGTCCATACCTGGAATAGTACCTGGCACGTTGTAGACACTCAGTAAGAATGGTGAATGATTGAATTCATAGCCATATATGAATCCCTGGGCAGAAACAGGACTGGAATTGATGGGAATCAGACTGACAGCTGCACACAAACATCAGTGTGCTGGACTAGGATGTGTGTATAAGTGTGCAACACGTCGTTTGCTTATGAAATACATTCGTGGCATTACTTTTGACTACAAAGAGCCAAAAATGCCATATTGATTAAATAAATAATAAAATTATATTTTCAACACAAGATAATTCTACAAGAATGAAACTCTCAGAAACAAAGCAAAACAAAGTCTTTGTTTCTACTTTGAACTGTCCATCTCCAACCACCTTTCTCTATTTTCTGAACTTTTATGCCAAGGAACATATTTTGTGACTTTCCTCCCACAGCCAAAAATTATGTTCAGATTTGATGATAGTGATTATAAGAAGTATTATTATGCCAGTTATTTCAAATTGCGCAATAGCCAAAGCACATAAAAATATGTCATGGTAATAAATCTGTTTTCATCCTCTTTGTAATGTCTTATTTGCCCTAACAACTGTTCAGACAACGGCTATAGTAAATGAACTCACCAGTGTGATTTGCATATTTCTCATTAGAAAAGTAGTGTCTGTTTCAGAACTTATAGTTGCATTTGATATATTTAAATGATCTGGAATAATGATCCTCAGAGCTGTCCTGACCTCACTGATAATGAATTTTATAGGCCTTTATATTGTTATTTGACTGGGCCTGCAATAAATTCATCAGTGGAAATATATGAAATATGCTGTTGTAAAATTCCTGGTTTCTTTCTCCTGAATCTAATAATTACTAAAATATATATCATTGTTTTCAGGTCACATTTAATCTCCTAATCATAGGGCTTTTCCTGCTCCCATATTCTATGTGTGTTGACAGTTTCTTCTTTTATCCAGTCTCACATACCAAAAGAGGCATTGTTAAATGCCTGGCTCACCTTCATTTCTTGTGTCAAACAGGCCACCATATCTGCTCAATTCTGCATCCAAAATACCTCTAGAATCTGTTCTCTTTTCTTCAGCACCATGGTCTCTTTTAAAAATTGGCTCATCCTTGACTCAGAGAGTTGCATTCACCTGGCTTCTGACTGCCCCACCCCTTTCCCATAAAAGCAGAGAGGGATCAGCTCAGAATCATGTCCCAAAGGCTTCTCTCTGAAAGGTGACAGAGTTTCAAAATGGTTGTCACTACTATATACCCAACCACAGAGGTACCACTTGAGGCAGGAGATTCTACAGAAAGAGTGTTTGTAACACCCAACAGGCAGGGTTTTAGATGTCATTTTGGAGGCATACCATCATCTCTACCAGTGATATGATCTTGGGTGAGTTCACCTCTCTGAAAGTTAGTTCAAGTATATGAAGTTGTTTTGAAGACTAAATAAGGTCATATGTGTTAAAAAATATTTGCTAGCCAGGCAGTCGCTCACTGTAACTGCAATACTTTGGAAGGCTGAGGTGAAAGAATCACTTAAGCCCAGAAGATGAAGACCAGCCTGGGCAACATTGCCAGACCTCATCTCTACAAAACATATAAAAATTAGCCAGCTGGAACCCATTCTACTAAGTGAAGTATCCCAAGAATGAAAAAACAAGCACCACATGTACTCACCATCAAATTGGTATTAACTGATCAACACTTCAGTGCACATATAGTAGTAACACTCATCAGATGTCGGGCAGATGGGGGTGGGGAGGAGTGGATGGGAGTATACAAACCTAATGGCTGCAGTGCAAACTGTCTGGGGGTGGACACACTTGAAGCTCTGACTTGGTTGGGGAAAGGGCCATATACATAACCTAAACATTTGTACCCTCATAATATGCTGAAATAAAAAAAAATTAGCCAGCTGATAGCACAGTCCTAGCTAGTTAAGAGGCTGAGGAGAGAGCATTGCTTGAGCCCAGGAGTTCAAGGTTGCAGTGAGCTATGATAACACTATTGCACCCAAGTCTAGGTAACAGAGAGAGACCCTGTCTCTAAAAAAAAATATGTATAGATAGATAGATAGAAGATAGATAGATAGATAGATAGATAGATAGAAGATAGATAGATAGATAGATAGATAGATAGATAGATAGATAGATAGATAGATATAGATTAATGATATTTGCTGGCGTGTGTTAGATGCTCACAAGATGAGAGTTTCTTTCTTGCATTCTTCTATCATGTCTAGGCATCATAAAGTGGTATCCAGAACATGCTTGCAGAAACTCTGCCATCTTCCTAGTCCTCTTGTGCTGATATCATTTGATGACCAGGGATTTCTGCATTTCTCAAACAGTACTAGGGAACTTGGATGAGATCATGTTTGGTTTCATGGAACCTATTTGATATATGCTTCTGCAAATCCTTCTTCTACAATGGCTGGAAACTGTTTCTCTTCATGCTGTTTTCTTGCTGTAAGATACAGCAATATTTCCCCCTAGGTTATAAGCAAAAATAAAGATTTCTAAACATTCCCTACTTTACCCTTACATTTTCTCACAAGCTCAGCTTTGTCACTCATTCTTGTTACCTATTTGGCTTTTTCAGAAAGTCATGTTCTTTCACTCCTCTGTGCCCTACATGGCCAGTCTGTCCAATTGGAATGTTCTTCCCTGCTTGTATGTCCAGTAAACACTCAGCATTCTCAGATAAAATCCTCTTTAAAGCTCTGCCAACCTTTGCTTCATCTCAGGAAGTCAGTGGTTTCCAGCTTAGTGTTCCCAGTACACTTTGATATGTCTCCATAAGCAGGTATCTTGTCATATTAGTACTATTTATGTACTGTTTGTCTTACTCAATGCTATGTAAATTCCTTGAATGGATAATAGTACCATAGCACCTAGAATGTGCTTGAAAGTCCATAAGTAATTAATGGATGATGGAAGGTATTATTATCATGATTTTCATTGCTCTTACCTCTTTAAAATTTTTTCTTTCCCCAGTCACATTCTTATCTGAATTTTCTTTGTCAAACTGTGCTACAGTTTTTTATTCTGTATCATAAATAAATGTGATCTTTATGCAAGCACTATTTTCATATGAATCTAAACACCAAGACTTAAAAACCTAGAGGAAAGCTCCAGTATATATGCTTCTATCATTTGCATGAATATAGCATTCTATAATTGAGATTTCAAAGTTGAGAAATTTCAAAGCTTTTATTAAAAAAACCTTAGAAAACTTTATCATAATTTTGCCAGTTTATTAAATAAATAAATTGAGAAGCAATGACACATAATTTAACAACCTTCAAAATAATTGCTCACATTTTGTTCCCAAAGTCCTCTCATATTACAAGTTGGCAAAAAAAGATATCCCTATCAAGATGGCCCTGAGAGAAACTCCTTACTTGGAAAAGGGTGAAGAGATATAGGAATAACTGGCATTCAGCTATTATATTGTATTTAGTCTCAGTACAACCAGGCAAAAAGGCACCTCACATTCACAGGAACTGTACTCTTCTCTCCTAGGTTAACTTAAAGAACTTCCATGGTTTCCTGAACAGGATTTTTATCACTCAGGTAAGGGCCAGAGAGGGCAGAGCATTTAAACATCTAGCCAATGAGCCTACTCTATGGTAGGTCTAGACCAAGTTTGAAAATTTCTCTAATTTCTTCTGGGCTGGGGTGGGTAATTATGCTGTTCTCGCTCATATTTGTGATATGTTTATATTATTTACATTATTTTAAGATCCTTTTATAAAGTCCATCTTATCTCTCAAAAAGTATGGCAGTTTGTAGTATATCTCTGCATGCTTCAATTTGTGTATGAGAGTTTTTAAAAACCCACCTTGCAGAATAACTGACAAAGTAGTGAACTTTGTACTTCCTGACATAACATGAGCAAGGAGTGTCATTCAAGTTTCATTAGTTAAGCATTAAAAAAAATCAGTCTCATGCCTGGATAAAGATAAGAATATTTTTAGCCTCTTTTCATTACTTTAAAAGGAATTTTCTAACAAATTCAGTTCATGTATAAATACAACTTTTAATTATCTGTAACAATGGGGAATGGAAAATAGAAATCTACAGATAATTCAAAATTGTATTTTAAAAAGCACATTAAACCTTTGTTCCCAATGAGCTGCTTAAGATTGCTTAGAGCTGAAAATTAATTTGTGTGGATTTTATCATTTTTATTTAAGACACCTCACCCAGGGAATAGAAGTTGATCAGTGGTAAATTAGGCACTAAGTACAGTAGCCAGAAAAAACATGAAATCAGAAGCCAAAGTACTCAAATCACCCACAAAATACATATCTAACTCTTGAAAATTTAAAATAAAATAAATCTTAATTTTGGTTTTATGATTGCAATAGACGTTCTAAGACAGAACAAAATACAAAACATTCTGAATTTGTTGATTTTCTAGAAAGAATCATCTGTAGTCTTGTCACTTGAAAATATGGATTAATATCTTTGGTTCAATCTTCTGGATCAAATAGTACTATCACTGTTTCATACTTTATCAAACCCATTCATTCCCAATAACAAAACAAAGAAAATGATTTCTCTGATTCCGTTCTGGATTTTTCAAGTGCTTTTCCTCAACAGAAAACCACTTGCTGATGTGGTCACTTTTCTAAGGTAGACAAGTAATGTTTTTTTATTTGTTGTGGCAATAGCCTCTGTCCTGCACTATCTTTGGTTCTACCTCTTCCTTTGAAAAGCCTTACCACACTGCAGCCAAGACAATAAATATAATGCAACACAGCGCCAATCGCAGACGTTTCCTTTATAGCATCATCAACACTTCCCTCTGCCTATTTACTTCACCTCAATTTTGTCCCCAGACTCTGATTTTTGGGGGGTGACTTCTTGAGAACTATCCTCCATTTTCTAAGACAATGTCCATTTTCATTATTATCATTTGAACATAAGTAATATTCTGTGTTTGTATGTAACAAGCAGAATCTGATCTCCAGCATTGAAACTGCCAAATGAAGCATAAGTGATATGTTGAAAGTGCCTATCAACCTGTGATTTTCCTTAATAAACTGAAATCCAAATTCTCCAGACTTAGCAGAAGGAAAATTGTCCATTCATGAGAAGGCATGTGGGCTGCTAACCCTCACCATCACTTCCCTGGGATTTTCCTTTTCCTTAAGGATCTCTCTGATTGCATCTCCATGGCCACACAGGCCTGTGTGGGATAATGAAGCTCTTCATCTAGGTTTGCATGCTTTCCTTCCAGTTACCAAACATGCCATTACCACTCTCTGTGGCTTCAGGTAAATTATCCACTTCTGCAAAACACACCACTGTTCTCACGAAGATAATATTAAGTCTCCCTTTGGAAAAGGAAGATCTATATATTCGATTGTTTATGAAATAATTATAGAGCCCCTGCTATTTAATCAAAAGTGTATACAATCAGCACATCAGGAATTACTAATATCCTCAATTAAAGCCAATCATCAATATTTGCAATAGAAGCATCAATGTGATCTTAAAAAACTTACTAGCCACTTTCCCTTGTTTAAAATTTTTAACCCCAAATAGTTTTTACTCTGACATATACTCTGGTTTACTCTCATGAAGATATTGATTTCTTATGATTTCTCTTATTCACTCTCTGGAAAAATCCCTTTATTGAAAAAATAAATATCTTGAAATTACTAGTAGCAAAATGGATTTGAGAAAATCAGTTTAGAGTGCATTTAGTGACATCTCACTGAATCTTGGTTACTTTAATATACAGAAAAATATTTTGGACGTTTAAAAAACTAATGTGTGGAATTAGAGAGCTCTAACTGAACACCAACAGCATATTGCCACCTATATCTTGAATTAAGAGAAAGATGAGCTTGCTCCAGAGACTTTGAGTCATGTGAAGAAGTTCCTGGGTAAAAATTGATGTCACTTAAAAATGTTTTGCTTTTTCTAATCAATGTTTATGATACATGTACTGACATTTAAAGTAGAAATTAGTTTTAAGTAAATACTACATATAAATAAATATCACATACAGTTCCATGAAAGGAGTGGTATCCTATTCAGTGTAGTATCCTCCACATCTGACATTTAATTAATAATTGATAAATAAAAAAACAATCAAGCAATCAATATATGTGATAAGTTCATAGTTATCCTTCTGGTTTCTGGTAGTACTAGAAGCAGTGTGTGATATCAGTTCATCCTAAAAAACTCTTTAGATGTCCTTATATATGTAAGAGGAATTTGCTAATATGATGGATAAACATTATGCTCAAGTAAATTTATAAAGTAATTGGGGTGAACAAAACATTTTGGTCTACAAAATACATAACAATACAAACCTTGGTAACAGAGTTGTATAGGTTCCTTGTACTTTAAAATATATTAAGAATAATTATTTAAGACATGTAAACAAGGCAAGGGGGTATACTTTCAGTATCTAGCAGGCCTACTCCAGATTATTTAATAATTTAGGAAATACACCTTGTTAAATTCACTGTTTGCTACTGATGAAAAGTCCAGACTTAGTGAAATCACATGTTAACTTTTAGATTTCTTTTCGCAATATAGAAGCAAGTAATTTCTCTCCAGAAGAAAAACAAACCCAAATGCTATGGATTAATCCCATAGGCTATTAACCATCTTTGAATTTTTCTTTGAATTTTACTGAGAACTCTTGTACTGATATTGTATCAAAATATCTATAAATACCCAGATCTTCAAAATGCTCTTTGAATCAGGCTTGCCATCTGTTCGCTTTATTTACTAATTAATGAATTGAATAATTTCTTTTACTCGTGTTTATTTTATATATTAATAAGAGTCACAATGTTAACCTTTTGAAATTTATACTTAACCAATGGATTGTTATAATCTTCATAACCACCACATTAAGTAGGTACTAAAACCATCCCCATGCACTATTATTACTACTAACAACATGATAGGTACGATTATCATTCCTATAAGAAAACTGAGAATTAGAGGGATTAAATGACTTGTCCAAGGTCACACAGGTGGTAAGGATTTCAGAATCTCTAATGTGAAGAGCCTGTGTTCATAAACCACTACACCGTGCCACTTGCCTAGAAGCTAGAAAAAAACTCATATTGAATAACTGAAGCTAAAATTTATCTCCTGCATATGTCTTAAAAGCATTGTTAAAGGCAAAGTGAAATTATAAAAGTACTTTTTAAATTAAATTAATGTGATGGAAGAAACAATTATACATAATGCATTTGTATAATATATATGCACACACACATAAAGGAATACTTGTTCTTGTAAGAAATGATCACAGTAAATATTCCACAATTGAATTCATAATAAAGACAAAAATATTTGCCTCTTTGGAAGAATCAAACTGCATTATTGTCAGCCTTGGATTTCACATTTGACATTATCAAGAATTCATATTATTAACAAAATAAGGTTTGAAATTATATTCTATATATTTAAAACTTTTATCAAGAATTCCAGCAATTAAAAATCTTCCAGACAGTGAGTAAATAGAGAAAATGTTTGTGAAGTTTTGTTTTGTTTGTTGTTTTCTTTCTTTGTTTTTGTCTTCAAACTGGTATATCAGGGTTAAAAGTCTTGAAATCACCCTTTCCTTACTCAAAAGTTCTTTATGATATAAGGATCTTACTCAACAACACCTTTTTCCCACTTGTCAAGGAAAGGCCATCTATGAGAGATTTTTGCATCTTGTTTAAAATTTTTAAGCTGCAAAGGTAACATTCAGTTTTTCTTTGTCTTCAGTGTCTTTTTTCTGGCCCTAAGTCTGCTTGCAATATTTTTACTGTTTCCTTAAATGAACTCTGCCACCTTTGATAGTCATTTTTAATAAAGGCATATAGGGTGAACAGGCTTCTGCCTCCTTTAAGTATCCAGAATATTCTCAAATGGGAACTAGGGAAAAATAAAAACCTTAACTGTTTTTCTCTTAAAACCATTTCCCAAGTATTGTCCCTGAATCTGCTGTAATAAAATAACCTAATCTATTTGTTTAAAATGCAGATTTCTTGGCCTCATTTCTGACCTCCTAGGTCAGAACCTCTGAGCTGGAACCAGTGAAACAGTATTTCAACTCAGGTGACCCCTACACCCTATCTATAAAGTATTTTTTTAAGAAATCCTTTCTTTATATAATTGAGACTTGTACACAGATCCTTAACTTCTTAATGTGAAAAAACCATCCACTTGAATTTTTAGTAAATAACTTTGGAATCAGAGCTTATATATTAAATTCTGATTATCTTTAGAGGAAAATTATTTTGCTCAATCTTGAAAATACATGTAGATTGGCTGCTTAACTCAGGTGCCTATTTTGTTTTATATTTGGCAAGAAACTACTTAATAGGATGAGTATCCCTCATTGTTGCAAACTGCCTAATAGTATGTTTCTAATTTGTTTCAATGGTTGCATTTCTAGGACAAAGTTGATATACTCGGATGTAAAACCCAAGTTTGGACTTTTCTAATCAGTAAATTATACATATAATGTAATTAAATTTGTAATTCAGAACTGTAAGATGTTGTATATGTGTGTACACATATATGTCCACATCCACATAAGGTATACATAATACATATGTATGTATACATACACATACAAATACTCATATAAATGTGAATATATACACACATGAAATGTTAAAATAATTTGGTACTTAAAACCAGAAATTATTTTTGGAAAAACATTTCCCTTTTTGCCAAAGTTGAGATATTTTCCATTAGTCTGTTTTCAAGTTTTTTGTTTAGGCCTGGAAAAGTCAGCATGAGGTAGTACTTACAGATGTCAAGGTTTAAGACCATACAAATCCACGTCTTTTGATCCCTAATACCTAGTACAGTGATAAACACATATTGAACAGTGACGAATGAATGAACAAATGAGAAAAAATGGCTTAAACCAGTAGTCTGCAAACTATTGCCTGCAGGCCAAATCCAGCCTGTCACCTGTTTTTCTACAGTACTGAATCTAGGAACATTTTTTACATTTTTAAATTGTTTTTAAAAACCAAGAGGTTGATAATATTTTATGACACAGGAAAATTATAGGAAATTGAAATTTCAGTGTCCATGAATAAGGCTTTACTAGAAAACTACCATGTATCTGTTTAAGTATTGTGTATGGCTGCTTTTGTGCTGCAGTGAGAGTTATGTAGTTCCAACAGAGACCATATGGCCTACAAACTTGAAAATATTTACTATCTGGTCCTTTACTGAAAGTTTACTGATACCTTAGTTTAGACAGATTGTCTTGCTTAGAGTGCTAAAAAAAAAAATGTAAATGATAGATTTGGAAGCAAAATCAAGTGTTTGGACTCCAAATTCAATCCCTTTTCCTCCATATTATTCCAAGCCTAGAAAATTGATTTTTATATAGGTCTTGGTCCTTCTTTAGAGGTTTCTCAGTTTTAGGCAGAACTGGATTTGAATCAAAAGTTTACTCAGGTCTAGCTACATAATTTGTGGGTCTAAATGCAAAAGAAAACTGCCTGGCACTGGCCAGGGGCTCACAGCCCCGACAGACTCCCCACGCCCACCCCCAACAGGGCAGACAAGAAATTGTGGAGCTGCGGATGCACTAATTATGTATGGAGTGCAATGAAGCTGCCACTTCCAGGCAAGAAAGGCCACTGCCTTCCACCTCCCAGCAGAGGGCGGCAGTGATCAAGGAGAGAGGGACGGTCCGAGGAAGGCAGGAGAACCAGGGGGAAGAGAGAGCCAAGGCAAACAGGAGCTGAAGGTCCAAGATCCTGACTCTTACTTCGTTGTCTCATCAGACTTCGTTACAAAATGTAAATTCAAATTCAAATAACGTTACTACGAATCTCAAGGCAGCAAACACAGAGCATTAGACCCCAAGTGTGGGAGCTTTCTGAGCTTGGTCACACTGGTTGTACTTCCACGAAGGTAGATTACTGCGTAGTAAAATATGATGCCTTCACAGGTTAAAGAATCTCTCTAAGCCCCATTTTACACAGTGATGCAATGTTGGATCACTTATATCCATCTGAGATGGATTAATTATATCCATCTCAAAAAGCTTGGAAGTTGCAATAGACCATGCATATAAAGCAGGCAGCAATGTTCTTGGCAATTTATTTTTCAATTTCCCATACTTCCTTCCAGGACTAAATCAAGAAGTAGTATTCTTATCATAAAAGACTAAATGTCATTTTCCTATTCTTGAGACCAATTCCTTCCTAGCACAAACTGCATCAATGGTTGGATCATACATTCTCCTTCCTAAAGAGATGTCCAAATTAGAGGTAAATTGAGCCATTAGTTAGAGTCATTTTGGTTTCTTGTGAATTAGTCTTTCCCTGGCACTCATTAGCTAGCCTGTACCTTCTGGGTCTGCACATAATAAAGCAAATGAGAAACATTCCTTAGGGCATTTTCAGACCCTTGCAGTAGCTGTAGTGTGACAGTGCAAAAGGAGTCTAGCTTGATAATTTTATGGTCACAAATAATTTATGGTGTAGCACTAAAGCTATACCAAACTTATACTAAAGCTACATTAAATCTACAATAATCCTACATCATTCTTCAGGATTCTATGCAGCAAAAAAGGAGATCTCATCCATCTCCCTTATTATCAGCAAAGCAGTGAGAAGCATTTTATTCCCAGATGGAGTCCATTCTAGTGTTCAGCTTCTTTGGGGGAATCTTTGTGATTCTAGACAACCAACTCACAGCTTTAGGAAAGAAGACAATAATCCTATTCAGTTACCACACACAACTGAGACTATAAATAAGCAATGTACTCATAAAATTACCTTTAGCAGGAGAACTGTCTTACCCATTGAGAAGTTGGTTGTTTTTAATATGAAGAAGGGTTTTTTTTCTTTTTTTATGTTTGCTTTTTGGGCTAAGAGTTATATAATAATATGTTCTAGTAAATAATAATCTCCCAGAAGATTTTATTTTTCTTCACATTGAGTCATACCCAACATTTATTTGGAAAATAATTTGTTTTGATATGTATAAATAGTTTGTTTTTCATTAAAACTTGGTATTTGTTGTGAATAATAGAAACATCCAATGTTGAATTAACGTGAAGCTATAGAATTCCCTAATATCTTAAATTTAATTAGTTTGGAACTTGTTAAGGACTGATATTTATTGGTTGGTTGACATCTCTCATCAAATTATAACTCCAAGTTATACTTGTAATGCCCCATCTCAGAAAGCTGACAGCTCTGTGGAGAAGTAATTCACTGATCCTCCAGATACCTCCTTGAAAAAAAAGTCTAAAAATATGTGTATTAACACTGTCCTACATCTTCTAAAACTAAGGGTCAGGGAGTTTGGGCTAGGCATTAGAGGAAAAAAAACAAAATTTGAAGCCCATTTATTCTTTTTGTACTCCAGCATCTACTATTTCCTATCCTTAGCTCTGAAATTATGAATTAATGATGATAACTTTTAAGTTATTTATATAGTGTCATTACAATAAAATAATACCTTATAAATTATAGGAAAAACATTCCATATCAGGGATATGTTGTAAGTTTGTTGTGTGATAAGAATCATCAAAATTTTTTCACAGGCTTATTATGTTTACAAAGAATTCAAAAAGACATAGATTCCTTGACAGTTTACTAGTCAATATCAATTCCCTAGATTTTATGGTTATTTACTTTCAATAGTATTAAATAGGATTATTTTTAGTTACAATTAGCAACAAACAATCAAATGATCTTCTGTTAATAAAGAAAGAAAAGAGTTTGACTCACGTATCTAAACAGGCAGGGGTTCAAGATCTCAAAATTTCATAAAAGCCCAGGCTTTCTCCCTATTCTCAGATCTGCTTTCCCCCGTGTTCGCTTCACTACCTTCATTATATTTCTAGAAACAAGGCAGTCACCAGCAACTCCAGTCTTACTAGTTTCATAACGCCAATAGAACAGAAAACCTCTTTTCCAATAGTCCCAGTAAAAATCCTGGGATTAAGTGTCATTGCAATTGTTTGATTAGCCAACCTGAGGCATGTTCACAATCCAGAAGCTGAGTATATGACAAACCCCATATGAACCACAGGGGGAAAAAAATGAAGAAGAATAGTTCCCTAAGGAAAATCAAGGTGCTGGCACTAGGAGAGAAGAGAATTGATCTTCCACAGACAAAAATTTTAAAAAAATTTTAATAATAGAAATAGATGAATCTTAATTACCTCAAAGACATCTTGATAATTTATTATTAGATTATTAATATTAAAAATATATTATATATTGTCTGACAATTTTCTAACTTTTTGCCCCATATCTTCTTTTGGAAATATCACATATCTATTAAATAAAAGGTACTTAACCCATTTCCTTGTTTTAAATTACATTGAATGTGTGCAGCTCCTCCTTTGACTTAAGGCTGATAAAATATTATTACCACATTATAGTTATCATTACTGAAGAATCTTTTGATCTCTTCTCTCTAATCAGTGTGTTGCATTTCTATTTGCTTATTATTTTTTTAGAATTTATTTTATCTTTGTGAATAATATCTGGAAAATAATAACTGAGATTATTGAACAGTTCCTTTCAGGAACATAAAAGACTTATTTGCTTTAAGATATCTGGAAAAAAACCAGATTCAAACTTCAAAAAGGTTTCACTCATTAAATAATAAAGAAAAAGAATAATTTGTATTATTATTATTTTTATTTCAGCATATTATGGGGGTACAAATGTTAAGGTTATGTATATTGCCCTTGAGCCCCTCCCCCCTCAAGTCAGAGCTTCAAGCACGGCCATCCCCCAGACGGCGCACATCTCGCTCATTATGTTTGTATATACCCAACCCCTCCTCCCCCCTCCCACCTGCCCGACACCTGATAAATCTTATTCCTATATGTCCACTTAGGTGTTGATCAGTTAATACCAATTTGCTGGTGAGTACATGTGGTGCTTGTTTTTTCCATTCTTGGGATGCTTCACTTAGTAGAATGGGTTCCAGCTCTATCCAGGAAAATACAAAATGTGCTATATCACTTAATGATATAATTTTTAATAGAAATTGACCATTAGGGGAAGAAGATGTTAAGGCCTGAGTTAGCTGGAGTAAACAATAGAGGAAGTGGAAAC